GGGTCCCAGTTACATCCAACAATAAAATGTATAAGAAAAACAGTAATAAGATCTAAGATATGAACTAAGAAAAACATCAACTAAATATACACTAAGCACTCATAACATAAAAACATTGAACATCAGCACAAACATGAACATGAGTCTGTGAGCAGATGTGCACGCATGAACACATCAACATTGAAACAGATCAGCAGCAACATGAAACAGATCAGCAGCAACATGATATGGTTTTTCACAGTGATTATTCTAGTTAGAGATTCATGAGTCTAACAGCCTCAGGGTAGAAGCTGTTCCTCAGTCTAGTGGTTCTACACTTAATGCTCCTTAACCTCCTTCCTGAGGGGAGTGGGGCAAAAAGTGTGTGTGCTGGGTGAGTGGGGTCCTTCATGATGCAGGTGGCCCTCTTCCTGCATCTGGAGGTGTAGATGTCTGTGATTTAGCTTATTTTTTTTAGAATATAAGAAATTAGTAAAATAAATAGACCAGGAAAGAGATGATCAAACTTATTAGCTCAGCGGTTAAACTAATTATTAGATTTTAAACATGCTTTGGTGAAAAGTTGAGCTGCGATGAGCTCATTCTGCTGAAGTTATGGCCGTCTGCATATGTGTCCTGCCGCAGAGCTCTGATTATAAGACAAAAAACATTTTTAATAAGATATTTATGGTTTAGTTTTGTTACAGGAAGCTGTGTAGTGTTTAGGCAAGAACTTCCAACATATTACAATTTCTACCCAAGGCAGTTAATTGTTCTCTAATTTTGTGCGCTAAAGACAAACTTAAGGAAAATATAATACAGGTTTCTACAGTTCAATTTTAATGTTTTATTTCACTGCTTTGCATTTTTGTTTTGCACTTAGAGAGCTTTTCTTGTTTTGCATTGTTCAAAAATATTTAAAACAAATGTTCGAGATTTCTTTCAAGTCTAACAGAACTAGAGTTACTTTAAATGGTTCGCTGTCTAAAACTTCAGTATTTCAAGCTAAGCAGTATCAAGTCACACCAGTAAGCCAGTGTTTTAGTTAGTGTGATGCATAAAGAAATCAAAATAGTTTTTCATGTTGACATGTTTACTCCACTGCAGATGTTTGTCTTGTATAATTTTATGAAGGTACCAGTCTCCAGATGATGAATGCAGCTCCTAAGCTCACAACAGCTCCACCAACTAAAACAATTTAACAAAACCTCAAAGATTTGTTGTTGGCTGCAGATCGAAGGATTTATTTAAATAAAGTGGCGTCATTATGAGTTGAGATGCACCTTCCCCCCTATAAAAGTCACCTGAGAAATCACACTGTTTTTTGAGTTTGGAGGACTAAAACCAGAAGACAAACGTCAAAAAAATGCTTTTAGAAGTGTATTATAATTACATTTTTATATATAGTCAATTTGCAATTTAAAAAATGTGTTTTTAGTTTCTTTGCAGCTGTAACTTTCTACAAAACATGTTATGTTTTGTTTTGTTTTACCCCACTTTAATTGCAATACTTTATTTATTGTCAGTTTTAATCCCCATTAAGCTTAAACATGCTTTTATTTATCTTCACAGATGACGTCTTCCTGAACAAAACCTCCTTAAAATGGCCCTTTTTTAACATTAAATCTTCTGAATTTTATCCATTTTTAAAACCTTTATTGAAGAATAATTTCCACGATGACAGTCAGCCAGCACGTGTGTGCGCTCCTACTGTTCTCCATAACAGGTACATAAATTTGAGTTGTTATAATGTTGGTGCAGCTCTAAATGTTTATCGGTCAGAAACTATTTTCTCGTACATCATTTCCAGACAGTCGGCTGTTCAACACCAGCTTGACCAGTTCTGTTTTTTGCTTTTCTTTCCCTGCAGCCTGCAGTCATTTTGAACCTGCTTCCTGCTTCGGTGAGGAGACAAACTAGTCGGTTGCGTTGTCGGCAGGATTTCACAACAGATTATTTTATTAATGTTTTATTTTACATGATTTCTTTAAACTCAGCCTTGCCATAATAATTTTTAACTAAAAAAATTGCATTTCCTGCAAAAATGCTGTGTGAATGCTTATTGCTGAAGAACTTGCTGAAAAACAGCTGAAATTAGCAAAAAAAAAAAAGCTGAATTTTAGCTGAAAAGGAAGAACAAGCCAAAATTAGCAGAAGAAAGCAGAAAGAATACATATTTGCTGAAATTAGCACAAACATTAGTAAATTAGCTAAAAAAAAAAAAGGCTGAAATTATAGCTGAAATTAGCTGAAAATAAATAATAATAAAAATAATAATAATTATAAAAATAATAAAAAATAGCTGAAAATGCAGAAAGAAGCTTACACTGCCAGAATGAAGTGGAAAGAATTATCTAAAAAAATGTGGAATTAGCTGAAAAAGTTGTAAACAGCATACAACAGCTAAATTGTAGCTGAAATAACTGAAACTAGCAGAAATAATCTGAAAGCATAACAAGCTGAAATTAACAGCAATAAGTTAATTAGGCTGAAAGTAGCAGGTTACCACAAAAAACTTTGAATTTATCTGAAAATAGCTTTAAAAAAGGCAAAAAAAAAGTTAGCTGAACAGGTAGAACAAGCTTAAATTATCAGATAAAAGTAAAAAGAACATGTGTGCCCAATTAGTCTGAAAGAATCAGAAATGATCAAAAACAGCTGAAAAGTAGCTAAAACAGCAGAAAGAAGCTTATATTACCAAAAGGAAGTGGAGAGAGCACATTTCTGCTGAATTACGCTGAAAAAAGTTGAAATAAGTGCAAAAAATGTGGAATTAGCTGAAAAGGCTAAAATTAGCATTAAAACAGCTAAATATTAGCTGAAATATAAGAAAAAGTTGAAACTTGCTGAAAGGAGCATAACAAGCTGAATTTAGCTGGAAGAAGTTAGAAGAAGCACAAAAATGTTGTAGTTAGTAGAAAGAATCTGAAAGTAGCACAAAACAGCTAAAACAAACAGCTAAAAATGTCTTAAAGTTCCTGAAAAAAAGTTTAAATTTGCACAAGGAAGCTGAAAGAAGCTGAAGCAGAACAAAATGTGAAAGGAGCAGTAAAAGGTCTAAACAGATCTAAAGATTTTTGAAGGATGGAAAATGAGCCCAGTTCATTTTCTATGAGGAACAGAATGGAGGAAAAGGCTAAATATTTCAAAAAGCTAAAGTTGCACCAATACCAAAAGTCAAAGCAGAATTGTCCTGAATGAGCTGAGGATTTTAATCTATGATTTGTTGAAATACACAAAAACTGTGGAACGAGAAAGATGCTGAAAAACGTACAGAAGAAAGATGGATCACAATAGAATTCTTCATAAACATTCACACAATAATAAATGTCAGTCAGTTTGCATTTTTACACATAGACCCACCTTTTCATTTTGGTTTAAAAACACAGCAGAAGGTTTTCAGTAGATCCTAGCTACTTTTCTGTCCTATACATATTATTGTCCTTTATCTCTTGTTTTTATATTTCATTTGTTGTATTATCTGCTTTGACTATAAAGTGCTATAGTCAACCTCAATAGTTTTAAATATACTCTATAGAGAACGTGGAATTAACGAGCTGCTTTCTCAGATTGATGAACAACAACAACGAATAAGTCCTCATGAAATATTTTGTTCCGTTTCTCAGCCTACTGCGAGCATCCCCCTCAGATCCTGGAGAGTAAAGTGGGAGAGATCAGGAGTTCTGCCTACCGCAGCTGGTCCTACAGCTTCGGTCCTGCTTACGATTGCTGGTTCATCAAGGGTTCAGAGGATGAACCCATTGTTCTCAGGTCCAGATGCTCATTTGCTCATAAATTAACTACAGATGAGACTTTTGAGATCATTTTATACTGAGATTAAATCATTTTGTTTGAAACAAGGATGAAAGTGGATTTAGCCACCTATCATAGTACACGCCATTATTTCAGCGATTTAAAAATATATATCAAGACTGATGGAAATTGTATTTAATTGAAAAACTACATGTGAACAAAAGTGTTTTGCCAGTTCAACAAATGAAGTAGTAATATTTTATTTTGCTTTTTTAATTTTGCATATTGATATGCTTGTTCTTGCTGTAAACTTCCTCAGTTTCTCTCAGTTCTCTGTACGATGTAAGAACGAACGGCTCACCATAAAATCATCTGCTGGTGGCGAGCCACATGTTCTTTGCGGCTCCAAGCTGCCGCAGCCGTTGGAGTTTCCAGGAGGAAATATCACCCTGGTGCATAATTTCTATCCTCATCAGTTTCCTGTGTCGTTGTTTCTGCTCAGCTACTCCAGAAGTACGACACTTTGGCATCTACCCTGTCATTTTATGACACTCTTGGTTCAAAGTTCATCTTGTGTAAAAATGTTTCTTTGCTAACCTTCTTGCGTTTCCACTTCATCCAGCTGGCGATTGCTCCGAGACGTCTTTCAGATGCCTCGGGGGTCGGTGCATCCCCCTCTCCTGGCGCTGTAACGGTCAGGTGGAGTGTCTCGGTGAAGGCTTTGGCACCGATGAGCTGGGCTGTGATGACGAAATGGACTACATAGACACTAAAACTGTGACGTATCCAGACAGGACCCTTCAAATAACCACCGAGAGAAATGAAGTCGTAGACAAAAGCTGGAGCTCCAACAGATCAGCCAAGGGGTACACCTTTCCTGATCACTGGATGCAGGAGAGAGGCCAGGACCAGGTGGATCCAGAGCAGCCACATACTCAGAAGAATCTTGTTGTGACGCTGACTCCCATCGGGTGGCCTTGTGGCGGTCTCCTTCAGACCTTTTATGGGACCTTCTCACCTCCAGTGTCTCAGGGTCAAGGGATGATTTGTGTCTGGACTCTGGACCCTGAGGACTCCAGGACACTGAGGTTGGACCTGCACCAGCTTGTGTTGGGTTCTTACGATAGACTCACCGTCTACAACCGGGAGGAAGGCAAAGGAGACATTATCAGAAACGTGAGAAAGAACCCGTACTGTTTGTGTTTTGAAAGATTTTTGTGTGTTGGTGTCGTGACGTCTTTCTCTGTATTTTCACAGATCACCAGTGCATCCAATTTCAAAGAAATCAAAGTTGAGTCCCATACCGGTCTAATGTCACTGGTGTATGAGGTACAGCTTAACTCCTTTGGCACCGGTTTTAAGGCTACCTTCCACGTGGGGAGCTATTGCCCCCCGTGGGAGGGTCAGTGTGGGGGAGCAGCCGGTGGGTGTTTCACCAAAGAGCAGCGCTGCGACGGGAAATGGGACTGTCCTGAGACTGGGAAAGACGAGCAGGGTTGCAGGGGCTGCAGTCAGAACCAGTTTGCATGTGGGTTGTCGGGACAGAGGTCGGTGGCGTTCAGCCACTATGCCAGCAGGCCGGTGTGTTACCCCGTGACGGAGCGATGCAACTACCAGCAGTACTGCGATGACAAGAGCGACGAGAAGGACTGCAGCGTCTGTCAGCCGGGAACCTTTCTTTGTGACAGTGGCAGGTCAGTGTGCACGCTATATACAGTAATTAAAACTAAAATAAGTTTATTAACATGTGCCTTTGTTTCTGTTGGGGTCTCAGATGTCAGTTCTTGCAGATTTACGCTTCACGTTCAATTTAATTGTCAATTATGATCATTTTTAGCTCTCTTTTTGTCCCATTGTTCTTCCATAGAGTTGTAGATTGTGTGCTAAATTAACACAAAAGTCAAAATGAACTTAACTGATATTATTGGAAAAATTACAAGTAGATACTGAGACTTCCCTGTTGAGCCTCTATAGCCTCATATGGAGGTTTTTAAAGTTTGAACAACAAACTAAAACTAATCCTCCAGATGTTGTTTTTCGATCGTAAAATGAGCAGCTAACTATAAACCATCTCAAATGTGATGATCAAATGGATGATTTCGAACACTTCTAAGACTTTTTAGCCACGCTGACCTTGCAGAGTATTTTTAAAGCTCATTTCTGTGCCAATGAGTAAGAGTTCACTTACTGTTGTTTTGTCAAAGCTTTTTTTTTAAATATCAAATACTTATTTACCATTAGGTTAGTGAACAAAGCTGCTGTAGCAGTTCTCAAGGTCAGCACACGGTCGTATTTTGATCACAAGAACAAAAACGTTTAAAAAAAAACGGTGTCTTGGAATTTTTAGACAGACATGTTTGTATTTTCTATAAGTATTTATACTATAAATTTTACTGTAGATTACAGTGGTTCCCAACACTGCTCCCTGAGGAACACCATCCTGCATGTTTTAGTTGTTTCTCTGCTCCAACACACCTGATTCAGTGGTTTAATTACTTCCTTAAGTTCAGCAGAAGCCTGTTAATCATCCTTTCATTAAAATCAGGTGCGTTGGAGCAGAGGAACAACTAAAACATGCAGGATGGTGTTCCTCAGGGACTAGGGTTGGGGACCACTGCTTTAGAATACTAAATATTTATTAACTAATTGTTTACCTTCCAGGCTTCTGTCAGCATTTATTCTGTGCTTTTATAAAATATAATTGACTAAAACATATTTCCTAATAATTTTCTGACTTCTGTTATTATCTGTCAGCATTTGAGTTTTTCGAAGACCTTATGGGGAAAAAATCAGCCACACGTTACATTTTGTCTGCATTTTTATTTATTAATTTATTTTGGTGCAGTCAATAAGCAATATTATTTTTGACAAAGCCTAGAAATCCTACTTTTTTTTTACTTGGCAGAATTGTTTCAGATGTTTTCACAAAGTCACAGTAACTTTACTATCAGTAGCTCCTTGTGTGTGTGTGTGTGTGTGTGTGTGTGTGTGTGTGTGTGTGTGTGTGTGTGTGTGTGTGTGTGTGTGTGTGTGTGGTGGGGGGGAGGG